TTATGTTTAAGTAGACATCGACAAATAAACATACTATCATGTGTTTGGTACAACTACATGACGGCTGAGAATTGAAAATGAAGAGCACTGTGATTAAATTACGCATTTACCCCTTCATTGTAATTACCAGAAAAACTACATGTCATGATATCCTCCTCCTGTTCCAATCTCATATTTACATTTCCAATTAGGGATAATATAATTTTTAAGCCTTTGATTTTTTAAATTTAAATTCTCCAATTGATTTTTGTTATTGATTTTGTTGTTGTTGTTGTTGTTATTTTACTAAAAGAGTGTATTCAAAAACCAAAATGGGTTACATCATGATAGGATCAACAGAGGACTTCCTTCCATTATTCACTACCTTGATACACTTTTGGTGGTTGATTAAAAATAGTTCAAACACCTAAAAAAATTGAATTTTCTATATTTTTAAGTTTCAACAGAAATATCTTTTTTTTTCCTGTAATGACAACATTAACCAATTTTAAAGTGAAAACAAAATTGGTTTAAAAATAAAAATAAAAACTATAGCAATTCTATTATTTGAGCAGATCCACAGTAAATAAAAAAGCTAAATTTGTTACAGTCAAGTTCAATTATATGAGCTTTTTTAAATGTTTTAAACATATTTTAATAGTTATGTTTCAAATTGAACTCAGTTCTAATAAACTCAAGTGTTAAACAGTTTTTCAAGTTATACCATCTCGAGTTATTAGCTTTATATATAACATTATTTTATTCATCTCACATTTAAAGATACTTTTAGAGATGATTTAATATCTCAAAATATAAAATACATCGACAAAAATAAAATTTAATAATTATGTTTATTTTAATAATATTTTTCTCCTTATTATATTTTCTCTCTCCATTTTATGTTTTATAAACAATATTGTATTAAATTAAGAATATTTTTAAAAAAATTATACTTCAGCTTTTAAAAAAATAACATTGTGCAGTACATTTAATGAATTTTATTTATTATAAAGAGAATATTATATACTAAGGGGGAAAAATTAAAATCTCTTAGCTAGGCTTGGCCCTCTCATCCTGGCTTTACTACGGGATAGAGACATCATTTGTTATTTATAGTTCTGTCTAGTTTCCTCCCCCATTTATATATATAACTGTACTGTTCAGTTGCATTTATTTTTGTCATATTGATATTTGTCTGCATGCTTATAATCAATATTCATTTGGTCGCAAATTATACACGTCTACATAAAAGCATGTGTACCAATAAAATTTATTAAACATATTTTATAAATTAATTTTTTAAAATATAAATATAAACTTTTAAAAATACTCTTTATTAAATATTTTATTTATGAAAGAATATTAAAGAGATATAATATATAAAAAATACATCATTAATAAAAATCCTATTTTTATTAAGATGTTTTATATTTTAAAGTTTTTAATTATTTTAAAAATATCATATAGTTTGAGACTGATGGACTATATACATTTGGTTTCTACAAAGCAAAGAATTTTTTTTTTAACAAAATGAGGCCATTTTATTGATATCAAAAAACAATATTACACGCACTACAGAGCAAAGATATGAATCTACATGCGTGTCGAATATAAAAGGCTCCTGTTTGACCCGCAATATATATATATATATATATATATATATATATATAAGGCTCCTAGCCTGGCTGACACGTGCTGAACAGCCCCGTTGCCTTGGCAGGTGATCGCGAGACAAACCTACCATTCCTCGCCCACGAAGCAAGCCTTGTAAATAAAAAATAATATTAAAGTTTTAAAATAAAAAGATTTATGATAATTTAATTTCTGATAATTTTTTAAAAGATTAAATTATAAATTTTAATTCAGAAATATAAATTTAAGAGTTTTAGTTATGAATAAAATGTTTGAATTCTAAATATAATTGTTTGCATTCAAAAAACAAATCAATCAAGCAAATTAAAATACTAGGTGTGTCAAAAATGTTATATCTTAGATAAAATTGAGATGTAAGTTGAGATAAAGTGAAACAAGTTTGATTGAATTGATACGCACATGCATGAATTATAATGGATAAATTAAATTGATAAGATAAATTAAAAAGTAAATCAAGGCTAATGATTGACAAAGCACGGAGCTTGCATGAGTTTGTAGATGTTTTTACATGAGTTTGTGATACCTGCTTTTGTTGCTATTGTTTCTCATATTTATAGTGCACACAAACCGTTGTTAGCTGTTTATAATTGACAACTCATGTTCTTGAAATATTTGTAGGTGATGATCACAATCTCTATGGGATTTAGGGCTCATGGGGATCATGATTTCTTATACAGCAATAGTCTAGCTAGTAATTTTGAATCTCAAGGGATTTTAGAACTTGTGTCGATTTGGTTAGCTCAGTTTACTATGATGTGGACCAGTCATTGTTAGATCTCCCTATGAGCCTGACGCTTCACTCACTAGATTCAATTCCTGTTCTAGCCATTGTGTTATTTTGAATGGGTGTTGTTTAGATTTTAGCCCAAACAATAACTCTAAGGGCAAATTGAATTATTGTTTATAGTTGTTTAAATCAATGCTTATCATATATTTAAAAAAATATCTAAGAATTAATTATCAAAAATTTTATATTTTGAATCTCTATTGTCGTCTTCTTTTCTAAATATGTTGAGATGCCTTAGCACCCATGACCCACAACATATAGATTCTCCGTCCACCCTCCCCCCTCCCCAAAAAACAAAAACAGACGTACCAAAACAACTTATTACGAACGTTAGATTTTTTTTATTTGAAAAATTAGAATTAATCTCGTTTGTGAATTGTAATTTTTTTAATTACCAGCAATGTCTTATGAACCATTTGATTTAATGTTTGTTTTCGTCTTTTGTTACTCAACACTCACAGTCTCACTGAATATTCTCTGCTTTATTTAAGACAACGTGTACATTTACTTTGGGTTCTACCGTAAAATGATGTAACATTTCAACCATTATTTGTGTAACGGTGATGGAAGCAATTTGTTCTCTTAGAAGCAGTTTGTTTTTTAATGTTCGGTAAACTGTATATAGTGATCTTAAGAAATAAATTAGAGAGTGTGTAATCAGTCTAACCCGAATAAGCAAATGACAAAAGAGAATCACAAAATAGGGTAATTGTTCTAAAGTCATTGGGGGACTTGCTTGCTGACATTCAGCAAAATAACGGAAAGCGTAGACTGAAATTGTTAACGTATGAACTAAACTAAAATTATTGTCAACCATGTTGTTAATATATAAGCTCTTGACTGTAATATTAGTTCTTGCTTTTATATGTAATTGGATATGCTTTTTGTGACTACACGATGAGAAGGGAGACATTTTTCAATTACTTTTACATAACACAGTTTATTTTAATCTTCTATTCTATTTATTGCTGATTTGTGTTGATTTGATATAATTTTTATCAAATCACGCCTTTTAAAAATAAAAATCAAATGTCTATAGGATGCAACTTTTTTTCTTGGCCAACTGTAGGATGCATCTTACGTGTATATAGTCTGATAAATGAACCCTGCTATTCATAACTTGTAAATAGCATAATCTGTCCTGCATTTATTTTTGTATGTTGGGGTGAATATTGACATTCTTTTCGTTGTTCGCAGGTCACGTGCATCCTTTTGTTGGAGGTAATCATATTCAAGGTACAATCAGGCGGTGAATTTAGACACATCTTCCAATAAAGATTATAACCTTAACTTATTATATTGTGAAGAACTAATTCATTCCATTAAATCTAACTCTATCGATAAAATAAAAATTGATATTGTTGTTTGATAAGTAACATTTGTAATAATTTTTAGTTTCTAACCAAATTTTTAGACCTGGGATTATCGCGTGGGATCACTGTGTGGACCTTCTTGTAAAATTGATTAACAATTAAACTTGAAATTAATACATGTTTAGATATGCTTATGTTTTATTTAAACTTATTACTAATTTTGATATATCGCACCTTTGGTGGCAGGCACCTTGCCCATAGACCACAGTCATCACTCATCAGCATCTAAAATTGTCAATAAGGGCTGTCATGATTTTCATAAACTAAATCTTTAAGGGTTAAAGTTGACATGCTCTTTTACTTTAAAATTAGTACTTTCTTTTATGCCCAGCTCTTATTAATAGGACCTAGGGCTTAGCTTGAAAGTGAATGCAACTTTTTTTTAAAAATATTTTTAAATTAAAATTTCTATTTATACTAATACATTTATAAATTATAATTAATCGTAATTGAATATCTAAAAATGATAATAACATTCAAAGCATAATTACAATTATATATATCCTAAAATATTACATAAATCATACAAGTTTAAATTTTCTAACATGTAAAATGTAAATTGTTTTGGTCTTTATTTTCATCAATTTTCATTCAAAAAAAAAATATTAAACCCTTCAAACTTCAAAGGGAGGTTTATTTAAAGAGGTGGTGCTATTTCAATAAGTTCACCAATTTCATCTTTGACTCTTAGAATAAATATTTAAAAATTTGTATTATTCTAATATATTGATTCAAAACTTTAAATAAATTATATAAATAAAATTATAAAAAAATATAAGGGCTTAAGAAGTTGATAAAGTTCATATTTGTTGGGCTTATTGAAGCAAGGCATGAAGTTCTTTTATACAAAAATTCGTAATTTTTTTCAGCCTGGTCTTCCAAAGAAGGACTTAAAAGGGCAGCCCACTAGATTCAACCCTGCTGACCGCTCAGCTTCTATGATATGCTGCCTGCTCTGGTCCATGTAAGCGTGAGGAGAGGATTCTTTCTCTGTCTTTCATATCCTTTTTTTTATTTAATTTTTTAAAACTATTAGGTTAAGATTTGAATGGTTTAGCTAGCTAAAATTTCATTTTTTATTGTGTAAAATAGGGGATTTTATTTGTAACTTGTGAGGATATACAGATTAATGATGATAACTTCAACTTAAAAAAAAAAAAAAAAAGGGCTAATGAATCTGGACTTTCGGGGCAGCCCCTAATATAAAGTGTCACTGTATCAGTAGTTTAGTACTTGGCTGGGGGCGTTTCTCTGCGCAAAATGAGGAGCTGAGGCTGCGTCTTGCATGCGGTATAAAGCTCCGCACTTCGATTTAAAAGCCATCACTTTGGTGCCAACTGTGACTCCTCAACGTTCGAATTTTGCTTTCCGTTATTGACTCTCCGTCTCCGACGATGAGTTCTGGCACCACTTTCCTCCCGCCTTTTCCTGTTCCCCACAAGAATTTCTCCCTCCCAATCAAGGTACCCTTTTTTCTTCTTCAATCCTTTCACCTTTGGCAAATCATGGGATGCTTCCCATGTTTGTAGCAGAAAAAGAATGTACAGAATTTTGGATTAGTAGGCAATGAAGACGTCTTTGTGCTTGGCTTTACTGAAGGATCCTTCTTGCCCTCAAGCTGTTTGTGTTTTTGTCAATTCCACTACCGGAATTTTTATCTTGTCCCATGACTGCAGCTAGCTCCATAAGCAGTACTTGAATTTGCATATGTGTTATTACTAGTCCCCCTGAACGGCCTATCAATCTTTATCTAATAAAATAATGGTTGAGAAAGCAATTGAGTTTTTCATGTTTTACGGTCCATGTGCATTTTGTTTTCTTTAGTGAACCTTGCAATCTAGAGGAACCAATCCTCCAAAACTGCCTTGGTAATCTAGTTGAGTCCCATGGTATCTTATGTTTCGTAGGGAATGATTTAAAGCGAGATATTACCATTTCTTTTTGCTTGACCATCTTTTTTTATTTTTTAATCCCAATCCTCAAAGGATAATGTATGTGGTGCATTTGAATTTTCATTAGTGTGTAATGGAACTTAAAATTCGAGATCATGATTGATCTGTCTGGTCATCCGAGAATATATCTAGACACCAGAGGTTCATATTCATATTACAGTATAAGAGGGCTTCATTCTAAAAAGTATTAATCCCATTTGTTTGCTTGTGGATGCAAAACTGTAATTGAACTTAGGATTCCAGGGCTACCTTTCACTGATGACTTAATATCTTTCATTTGCTATTTATATAATTTATAGTTATGCACTAATATTAAAATTGTGTTTGCTTGCCAGGGAAACAAAACAGAGATAATAATTTCAAGTCATGAAGATCGTTTTCTGGTGAGTGCTGATGGGAACAGGCACTTTGCATGTTTCTATGAGTATAATTCTAACTTTTGATTATGTATCAGGTTGTTGCTACTCAAATAGGAACCATGGGGACAATACTGCATGCTAGGTTAGTTAGAGTTTTGTGCAATATCATTGCCTTAATTATTTCTTGGACATGCTTTTCAATCGCCCCAAAAAACATTTCCTTGAAAATCGACTAATTCTTAGTTAATTTGTAAGTGATTGAACATTGCCAAATCTACCATATAATTTGCCCCTTCCAACAATAGCTAAGAAGTCTGCACGTCTTTGAGGATACTGTGCTAGTGCATGGCAACCACTAACCACAACTCTTCCTTAGAAACAGTATACTGAGTTTGAAACCCACCCTCCAACCTTCCTTTATATATGTGCTTGTAGAATAATTCGTTTTATTATTGTTTCCTGATTTATTCCTTTTTTATAGTCTTGGTAGTGGCTACTTCCCTTTGTTACTTGCTATAGGGCATACCACTTGGAATTTTATGCATTGCATCATATGTTTTCTCTTTAAAACTAATATGCCAGTATCTTTCCGTATTTGTTAGAGGCAGATGAGATGCTAGTCCCAAAAACTGTCAAAGTAAATCTTTATCCTGAAATTAAACAATCAACTTTATGGACGGTATATAGTTATCGAATTTTACAACTCCACCCACACATACTTGGATTCTGCCAAATGGAAAAGACTGGGAAAATGAATTGCACACCAGGACCATGCATCTGGTTTTGGGTGATAAGATAGCTTCTAGAAACACGAAATGCGTGCAAGTATAGTGGTTTTGAGGACCTGTAAAGTCCGTGGTCTTTGAAGCAAAATCTTGGCATAAAAGCAAGTTTTTATTGTATTATAGGCTTATAGTAGAATTGAAGTTTTATGCATCTTGAAAAATGTGAAGAATGTTTGATGCCGTGGTACTTTTAGGAGGGGGAAATTAGTGCTTTAGTAATCCATTTTCCCCCTTTCCCATTTCGGATTCCTAGAGCCATCGTAGGCTTCTACCTTCCAGAATGTATTCTTCTGGATGAAATGAATGTTCACTCATTTTTTTCCTCTACCAGAAAGGAAGAAGGGATGTCAATTAATCCAACATTCAACGTGTCTGTTATTTTTGGCAAACGGGATGAGGTAAGCCAACCTATGAAATTTTTTTTCTCTTCTTTATATGAAGGTTGTGCTTGATCTTCTCTGATTGCTATGATGCAGCCAATGTTAGAGGCATGTGCGCGTCAGCTAATCGAACACATGAGGTTGGTATACTTCTTTGATAAGAGAAACTATTTTACAAGTTAATAATACACATCATCCAGACTTTTGGGTGCTCAACATCAAAATTGTAACTCACGTGAATACATTTAAAGAATCTATGCCCTTTTCTTGATACGATGCCAACCCCAGTTTTAAGACAAACTAGTTTCATTTTATTAGATTGAATTCCTGCGTCTTTTCTCTTTAGTCTTTACAGTCGTGGTATTTGACATCTCTCTGCGTTGACTGATTGATGCTAACAAGCAAAACAACGTTTACACTTGAGCCTTTGTATGAGTTTTCTTGTTATGAATAACAGTATTTGCAATGAAATTCTTGTCTTTGCAGCTCCTCTGGCTCCGCTAAGCCGTTAGTGCTCTCTCTTGGTCTTAGAGACCATTCTACGGTACTTTCCACTGCTCTATGCGTTATTTTTTGGACAAAAATATCAGCTATACTTATTTTTCAATTTTATGCAGGAGACGCTGAAGGCCATTGTTTCTGCTGTGATTGACAATCGCCTCTGGTAACAAGTTGCTGCTCGACTGTCAAATTTCACGGTCTGGTCTCGAGCTTCCTTTCAGCCCAGGCCGCCTGTCATTTGATAATTTAGTACATCTTCCAGACTTTTTCGATATAAGTATACGAAAGTCGTTTATTAATTCACTAGTTGCCTGGCCATTTTTCAGGTCAGGATTCAGGAATCACTTTCTATTAAAACGCCTTTTTTTAACACCAATGTTACGACATTACAACATTTTGTCTTGTTTTGTAAATTTTGCTAATCTCGCTTGGAGTTGACATAGAGAACACTCGAAATTGTCGTTCTAGAAAATGACATTCAATTCTTGATGTTCATATACATTGCAAAAGTATCCGGACTGGAAGGATCCAATAAGATTACCGTGCAAGCTGGAAAAAGTCAAGGCAATTATCATTAAGGTCAGAATGCCGTGCGCGCGCATGTGCATATACATGCACCGTTCGATTGTAGATAGAAAATGACAGTACCAACAACTCACTGACGGATAGGCCCTAGCTTAGCTCCGTTTACCAGAAGGCTTCATGTGAAAGTGATTCTAGCATCCCCACCTTTAATCAGTGAGGGTGACATGCATGCATGCATTTTATTGCTTGCAGAGAAAATTTGGGCGAGGATTGACAGCAGTATTTTAAAAATACTTTGAAACAAGAAGCGAGGGAGAGAAGCGTGTTTTAATTACATTATCTGGTCAATAAATTACATTTTACACAAGTGACTCGAAATATTATCTGAAAATAACAAAATTGGTGTCTGCATTAACACAAAGTTTATACATGGTACACTAAAATACAACACAGAAGTGCTCCCCATCCCCATCCATCCTTGGAGAAAGTTACAGACCGTCTAGCTACGTTGTAAGTGACAAAGGGTCGTCGGTGATGATCTGTCAAACCTATAAATAAGGCTCATCAACTTTCTCTTCACTCTTCCACTCTGTTGGACATCGAGTTCAACTGCTTCTCTAACTGCAAATATAACAGAAGGTTAAAAAGATGCCCAACCATATTCCCAAACTGCCAAAAGGAGCAAGAAATATTTGTATGTTAGTGCAAACCATACAGAAGGTTAACTCTAAAAAAGATCCAGAAGAATTGCCATCCCACAATCATCTCTCTCTCTCTCTCTCTCTCTCTCACAAACGCTTGGCAGTTTTAGCTGTCATGAGAAATTTTTTCTCAAATTATGGACTCAAATGAGTGCCAGTTTGGATTCCCCTCCAACCCTACAGGAGCCCAAAAATGCTCTTTGTTAACAAATTTTATTTTTTTGGGGAAGTCGAAAAAAAAATAGAACTCTTGGATGAAACTGCAACTAGCTTTTTATTTCTTTAATTTATTTCGGTGCTTTTTTTTTGAAAAAAAATAAAGTTTGCATGGAGAATGCCTTGCAACAAAACCTCTGCAATATTCACGAGAAGGCCTATGCAATGCTTTTTACTCCTCAGCAAGATTATATTATAAAACTTATGAAAGAAGAAATATATCCTCTTCCCTGCGACCTCACCAAGCAAAATCTTGGTATTCAACAACAACAAACTATAAAACTAGGAGATGATTATAATATAATTAAAAAGTCAGAAAGAGACATGCTCATTTAGTGATGCATTGCTGAATCTCAAGGCTGTCTCAAATAGAAATAGGCAAAGTTACAATGAATTCTAAAAGAACCTGCTCAATTTAGAGAAAGAGGGGGAGAACCAGAGAGAATAGATAGTTCATGTCTGCACTTGTATAATTAAGATTGGCATGATAAGAGGAAGAGCATCCATACAGAGAGGCGAGAATAAAGCATGAGAAAACTAAAATCGACTTACTTACCTGGGCATTTTTCATTTTTTGTCTTTGCACTTCCTCAACAAGACTCCCAATGCTGAGATGAGAGTAAAAAATTAGATTACGCGGCATTTAGATAAAATGATTGAGAATTAGAAAATTCTTTGAGAGAGCACTTGATAAGTGAGAATCTTAATCGTAAAAGTACTTGCAGGCATTAAGACACCTGAGTATGAGATATATGGCAAATTCAAAGTGCCATGTTTTTTTTTACACTGACCATCATAGAGATATATAAATCTCAAAGTAATGCATATACGTGTCTTCTATACATAGGTTTCTACGTAATTGAGAAATTAGGATATACACCAACCAAATTCCACCTTAGATTACGTCAATATACCTCTGTTGTAATTGAATCACCTGAGCATGCAGTTCTCTCTCCCTATTTGTTGAAGGTGGTACCTGAGGTTCAGCATGCAAACAACTGAAATCAGAATGTGTCCTAAAACTCTCTCCACGCCTTCCCCACCTACCCCCCTCTCCCTACCCGACCAAAATACTAAAATATTTCAGTCATATCCTTATATATTCCTTTTAAGAGGCCAAGTCCACCACAATGAGTTCAACGACAGAATAATCATCAATGGATGCAAATGTCTGACCTGGAACTCCAATCAAAGTATCTCCAGTGCATTGATTATGTTCTCATTAGAATGGTTGGGTGCTCAGGTGAATAAACGGACAAAAACTTTACTTTCAGCAAGTAAAGGATGTCATCAAATGCTAGACATAGATAATGTTCTCATTAGAATTGAAATTATGTAACTGAAGCATTTGATGACATCCTTCACTTTCCCAACTAATTGAGATTATGTTCTTATTAGAATGCTTGAGTGCCCGAGCAAATAATGGGGACAAGACCTTTATTTTCAACAAGCACAGGATGTCTTCAAATGCTTGACATCACATGATAGAGCAAAAATAACAATAAGCCATCCAATTAATGCTCTAAAATATCTACAACATTCAACTATTATTGCTCAAGTCACAGTACAATTAGGCACAGATTTAGTGTCTAAGACAACATATAAAAGGAGTTTTTTTAAGTTCCAAAGGGTAGTTATTTACCTGCGAAAGATCAACTATCCCTGCCTCTGTTGATTCAGTATACTTGCCTGTAGCAAGTGAAAACAACAACAATAAATCGAAAAACCAGAACATCCACAGTAAAATACAAAGGTTAAAAGATGAAAGACATTACCACAAGATTGCTCCACATACTTTATTAATTTAATAATTTCTTCCTGTCAAAAAATTATGGGAAATATAATAAGACTTAGCCTAGCTATGTCATCCAGAAAAATGAAGACATCCAGCAGAAAAATACCCTTTGCATGCTGTTCTGTTGCAAAATGAACTGCAATGAAGGAAGAATAGAAGCAACTGTAGAGTTCTGATTTGGGGGGCCAATAGAACCTCCAGAAACCAGGCCGCCAAAAGTGCAGTTTGAAGGACCCTGTATGAGTTGAAGAAATGGCAATGGTTATAAAGCCATTGCCTAAAACATAAATCACCTAAGTTCCATCCTTAGTATTAATGAAGTCAAGCGTCATAAAAGACCTAAATGAGACACTGAGCCAAAAGTGCAGTTTGAAGGGAAGGACCCTGGATGAGTTACAAAAAACAGCAATTGCTACAAAGCCCTTCCCTAAAACATTCACCACCAAGTTCATACTCATTATGTCTAATAGCAGACTAAGTGCCCATTTGGATTTCAATTTATGTCTGGCAAAAATATATTTGAGGATCCAACTATTTGTTTACATTTGAGGGATTTCAGTTTACGTTTGGCAAAAATACATTTCAAATGTAATTTAGATGTACTTTCAAAGGTTACCAAGATAGGGCCCAAGTTGTATGGCTTAGGGGAGCAAACTAAGTTAAATCAATCCAACCTGCTCTAATATTGTATAAAGTCATCGTAAGGTATATGTGGTTCTGAGTATTTGATTTGCTCAAATTTCTTAGAAGATTGGTGATAATCATCTTGATGCTCCAGCCAATGGCATTGCTTTATAAAAATAGTAAAGCTTAGAAAAGCTTTCATGTAAATAAATTTTTCCAATATTAATTGCAGATTGGTTTAGTGACTATAGGAACCACAACCCATGCATGGCATGAACATGAATGCATTCGGATTTGAGAATATTGAATAGAACATTGCAGATGTCTGTATACCCTATGAGCACAAGTACCTCAATTCATCATTGTTCAATACATTTCATCAAAATTTTACACATAGGCTCAGTGGTCTGCATATATGATTTAGTGTTAATTGCTTCATGCTATAGAAAGTAGGGAATTAGGGATAATTGACCAAGCAGTACATACCTTTGGACTGAGATCCGCCGAGGTAACCTGAAACCGACCCTTGCGCTGGATAACTGCTCCTTCCGATGCATCATCAACTGCATAAAGACAAAGAAAAAAAACTTCATGTGCCAGGTATGATGTGTTTATTTTCTGAATTGACAAGTACAATTCTAGCAAGGGGCAAGAAAAAAAATTATGAAAAAAAACTACGATTATAGCCACAATCACAAAGGAGATAAGACATACGGGATGCAAGGTGGTTGTTGGTGTCTCTCTTCTGACGATATAACAAGGGTCCACTATGATTCCGATCAGAATTATATTTTGCTTGCAAATAATCCCTTTTAAGATGCAGAAATCATGACAAATTAGCACAACAATATTGCACGAATATGCAACAGCAGTAAAGTGGCAAGCACAACTATGAGGTGATAAAATTATCTCAATTCTCACCGATCAAAACATGTTAAAATTTCAATAGAAAGACTAAATGTCCACAATAGGAGGTTAGTAGAGCAAAGAAACAATTATTTTTGTTTTATAAAAGACAATTATCAGTCCAAAAAATAAGTGAATCATGAGGTGTCACAGTTTATTTCTTTCCATAGTTCTCTATTCATCAATGGATACAAGTACGAGACATTATTTTAGCCTCTGAAGCCTTTTAAAACCAAAAAAGAGAAAGGGGGGAAAAGATTGCCAGGCAAATATCTCTACAGGCCGCACAGGTTTTAATAAATGCGTCCAGACAATGGAAGGCAAAATACTACCGTAAAAGAGAATATACAAAGCCGTAAAACCTACCTGTCCCCATCAGTAACAACCTTTTTAGGGGAGAGAAAATTATCAGGCACCAAAGAACCACTCAAATGCTTTTTATGCTCAGTTAAAGCATTTTGTGGCACTAAGCTAAGCCCAGAACTTCCATTCTCGTTTCTTCCATAATCCTGGTCCAAATCTCTCAGACTAGTGTTATTTGCATCATCCTCAAAAATGTCAAAACAGCCTCTGCATGATTGTCACACATAAAAAATTCTGAATAAAACTGCCTTGCTAAACTCATAAGGTTCAACACATGATGTTCATTCTAGCTTAAGGAATGAGAAATAATGATTGTACTCAGATTCAAAATTTTACTTTTAATGATTTTATGTGCATTTCTACTAAGAAATCTATCATATTAACATGCATCATATATCATTAACCCATGGCTCTTGTTAGAAGAAAATAAAAAAAACAAATAGGCAATTAAAAGGACATTGCAAGCCATGATTCACAATAACCAGATCAAAAGGTATAACACAAACACGGGAGTTTTCTTTCTCAGAAACAGCTTTTTTTTTTTTCCATTCGCATGGTTTGAGATTAAAGGTTTTATATTTCAATGTTCTCAAATAAAAGTGTGTTAAAAGTTAAGGATTTGAATCGTTGTGTATTAAAAGTCAAATTGGCTAAACTACAGGTTGGCAAATTGCATTGCGCACTATACATTAAGCTCAATAATACTTGAATGTGTCAGATTGAACCCAAAGCTTCCACCTTACTGCACACACGCATAATAAAAGGAAAAGGAAAATAGCCATACTTGAGCGCTTTAAGAGGTTTAATTGGAAATGAAGCGAGTGAACTCTCCAAATCCTGAAAATCACTGAACCCATCCTGAAATAAGATGTAAAGCAAATTCCGATTTATGAATGAACCCACGCAAATAGTATACTTTGAAGATAAGATTAAGACTTTACAGTTCAAAGATAAAGGTCTCAAAATGATAAATAAAATAATACTGTTTTAGGACAATAATGTCACCTTATCCAATGTGGGTTTAGCATCTGAATCGTTAGCTGTTACTGCCAATGACCCTTCTGCAGGAACCCCATTATCATCAGATTTGTTTTTTTGCTTCTTATCCATATCTGGCTCTTCTGCATTCAGCAGTCATCATCTTGAATCTGTAGGCAGTGCATGGCTGGTTATATTACGATTAATTATAACACCTAAATTTTCCTCCCGGTTTTAAAAAATAAAAACAGACATTAGGAAGTTGAAACTTACAAGAGCAGCTTGGCTTTTTAAATCCTCAAGGTTAAAATTCCATGCACTGATTCCTCGAATATATTCCTTCTGCAGAAGTTTGAATGACAAGGTAATGGGTTTTTAAAATCCTTAAGTTGGAAGTTTACTACTCTCATTTGACACACAAGATATGCATTCAACAAGTAGCTATTCTGCACAAAATATTTATAAAAACTCACTTCAGGGAGGAAACTCCTACAAGAGAAGGCAACTAGGTCTAAACAACCTACCCTGACAGTTTTTGGTCTCATCAATTACTTATCAAACAACCATTTTATATGAATTCTGCTAAACGATTATTCATCTCTTCTAAGCTGCCCCATCCCTCTGCATATATGACAAGGATACTTCTCAAAGAAACCACGAGTAGAACACTAAAAGAGAGGCACAAGCATAACCCCGTCCATTATGGACGAACAAACAGCTTAATTGCAAGGGGGAAAAAAGCCCAGGGTGTGCTGGATGTGCATGTCTGTTTCTCAACAAAAAAAGACACAATCTGTAAAAGCATAATGCATTCACTTTTAAAAAGACAAGGGTGAGCTCAAAAAATGACAATCTCAAATCTAAAACTACAAAGAATCCATATGCTACAAATAATTTCAACAAACTTACCTGTGATAGTTGTTCTTTATCCTCATAAAGAGCCTTATTCTGCACCAATAAATCAGCCTCTTTTGCCTGGAAAAGACAAGTAGGTCAGAGGAATTATGGTAAAAGGAACGCACTCCTTAAACAGAACAGGAGGAGGACTTGGAAATAAACAGGAAACCTTCAACTTCCTAAAACGTTCTCCTAGAGGAGCAAGACCATCTAGAATAGTTCGAGTTAGATATTCCGTGGAGCGTGCATGTTTGAAGAAAGGGTGTTTTAAAAGTTTTTCTGAAGTTGGCCGTTTCTTTGGGTCCTTCACTAAGCAGGTTCCGACCATCTCTTTGAACGACTGCATATAAAGGAAGAGCAACTCAAAATGTAAAAGAAGTACTTTGCAAGTAAAAGAAGCTACGAAGTAAAGAGTTTCACAGGAAAATTGCAAACCTTAGAAAATCTCTTGTCTCTTTCATAATCAAGGCCTGGAGGAGCATTCTGTAACGTCATAAGCAAAACCTGCATCACCAAAAAAAGGGGCAAGAGATCAAATCTAAGATCACTCAGGCAATAGCTTATAAGTTCTAGCAGTTCACATATGCAAATAAATTCAGAAGATGAGTATATTACTTTCATTGGTGGATACTTGGAAAATGGGGCATGACCATGAGCGAGTTCAAGTGCTGTTATACCAAATGACCAAATGTCTGCCCTGTTCACAAAGAAAATATTTTCTAAAAAAATAAAAAAGATGAAGATGCCGGCGATAAATAAACAGGGAGGATGAAAGACACTCACTTGAAGTCATATCCATGTAATTGTTGCATAACTTCAGGAGCCATCCTGTGAAAAATACACGAGTTAAAATCTTCAATAGAAATATGATCATAGTTCATAGCTGCCAGGTCACATACGATATACAATAATTTAGGTGGCCCAAAGAGAAGTAGTACCAGCAAGGAGTTCCAACAAAAGTGTTTCTTGATCGTTGCCTATCTCCAGCATCAAACATACAAGCTGACACCCCAAAGTCAGCTAATTTGACCATACCGTCAACATCAATCAAAATATTCCCAGCCTGCATATTCTTAAAAGTTTGTGAGAGGGAAAAAGAAAAAACCCGAAATCCAAAATTTTGCAGGAAAGATATAAGATATATTTTTGCTCATAAAAAGGTACAAAATTTTGCAGCCTTGGTTCAGCAAATCAACTTCCTCAGCATAAACTAAATTCACTAAAGCAGAAAAGCGAGTACCTAGTGCTCCTTCATAATTGATCACACATCACTCATTAATTATCTACGATGCTACAGTACCATAAAGCAAACTCTTAAGTTGAATATATTGTCTAAAGCTACAATTGTTGTCAACCCATGTATTTGCCGAGGTTTATAACCAGTCCTGATAATTAATAAGAAAATAAAATAATCCCGCAAATTTAAAAGAAAAAAAAAACTAAGGTAATAAAAGTGCTGTTTGATTGAGAAGCTCAGCTCTTTATGATACTCCATTTTTAATGTCCAGTGGCTGTATATCTTTGGAAAAGAAAAGGAGGAGGAGGTGGAGGAGAAATAGCAGGCAGGATGCAGAGTACTACCTTTACATCTCTATGTATGTGGCCATGAGCATGAAGATAGGCAAGAGCTTTGAGAACCTCCCGCAATAAAGTAGCAATAACAGGCTCTTCAAATCCCTCAGAATAGTCAGATTTCATTATATGAAGGCAGGATCCCCCAGCCATGTATGGCATCACAACCCAAAGGTTGTGCCCAGCAGTGAATGAACAATATGCCCGTAAAACATTCGGATGATCAATCAAGCTCATCGTTTGTACCTCTCTCCTGATGCCATCCTGCATAATTCACAAGAATATTGCATTGCAAAGAACATCACCAGTGTCAGGGCAGAGGAGTCTAAGCATATGCATGCACATAACTGCAAACACATGCAATTCAGCATAAAAAAAAGCAACTAATGGTTGAAGTCATCCTTTTATATTTTTCATTAAAGCAATGAGAAGAAGTCATGTCATGGAACCCTCTAAACGAATCAACTAAGTGCATGCACAAGCAAAGCACACAGGCGCAAATGCGTAACTTGGATCAATAAGCACATTGATAGAGTCATCATTTAACATTTTAACAAGCCATCAAATCCTAATATCCTAGCATGTAGCAACACAATATAAGTGAATAGATAGCAAAAACAAAATGTAAAAATAATATAGTGATCCTGTTGCATGGATCAATATTTAAAAAAAATCATAAAATTTTGAAAATAATCAAAAAAACTGGTGAAACTGAAAGGAGCCCTCGGATAAAGAAGCTCTACCAGATCACTGCAGGAACAAGTAATCAAAGACAACTTCATTACAAATAACAAGTGAACAGTTTCGACGTTAAGAGATCAGAAATAATCAGAAGTACTCATTTATTTAAAAAAAAATAAAAACAGAAAAAAATAACCACAGAGAGGAAACTAAGGGAAAAAAAAAAGTATGTCGCATGAGAGATTAGCCTGCCTACCAGATCATTGTTGCACTTTTCGAGATCAAGAACTTTGATAGCAACTGTTTTGTTGAGTGGCACACAGAGTGCCCTATACACAGTGGCACTAACACCTTCACCAACTTCTTCATATAACTTATAATCTTTTGCATTGAGAGGAAATCTTTTTTCTGATACATGCTCCATTTTTCTTCTTATACCATAACATCCAAACTCTCTCTACTTTTAGATGTTCCACTTAACATGCATAGCTTGCATACTGAAGAGGTAAGCATCGAATCAATGTGTTGTATCTCCAAGTTACGCAGCATTTCTTCGTTCTTTATAACAAGCAAGAAAGTGCATCAAACAACTTGATGAAGATTTTTTTTTTTTTTTTTCTTTTGTATTTTTTCCCAGACAGAATTTCCTATAAACTCCAATATTAACGAAACCTCATTTACCTGCATGAAATACTGATTAATATAAGTTAACTCAATCGTGCATATCTGCATCTACTAATAAGACAACTTGATGGTAGGAAATTGAGCAGGCACAGCAAACCAACGCATCAAATCAGCATGGCCATTGAACAGGCAGGTGCAGAGGACATCAAATCAATCACCAGCATTTCCACAGACACAAGAACGACAGACCCACTTGTCAAGAAATGTGATTATTTGACGATACATGCTAAAAATATTAGAGTAAGGAATTAGGAAAGATGATCACACGGAATACATTGATGATTAGTATGGAAATGCTGCAACAATCAACCAAGTTTTCTACATTGAAATTTAGAATTTCTAACGAAATGTATCGATAAAGCGGGATATCAATTCCATCAGTAGACCCAGAGAATCAATGGAGTGGGAATTCATCCGTCAGAGAAAAACAGCCAGAGAACATGTCTCTTCCCCATCCAGCCTTCTTAAACCGAATTGGGCAACACCACCACTTCAAGGTTGAAAGTGAAAACGGTAAAATTGAAACTACAGATTGATGCTAAAGAATACTGACCTAGGGTTTCGCCACCCTTCGCTTGAACCAGAACTGAATCTGAATCGGTTAGGGAAAAATCCCCCCGAAAAAATGATACCGATTCAGCTGGGGTTCAAATATTCCAAATTCTCGTAAACTACTCACTTCACTTGAACTAGGAAGACTAAAGAAGACCACGACCGCCACGACGACCCGAAGATGACGGCTGTAGAGCTTCAGATGCTTTTAACTCCCTCCCTCTCTGTGATCGTCTTTCTGCACCGAATAGTCCAGAGTTTTAGGCACTGAGATCGAATCAGCAGCAGTTTTCACTTTCCTCTGAATAAAGGATTTTGCAGAAAAAAGGAGAACTAAAATCGAGGGGGGGATATAAAGGAGAATTCCTTTTCAGCGTGAGAAAGAGCTATCGTCGTTGGGAACGGACAAATTATTGGGGAAGGAAAATTATAACGGAGAGGGAGGGGAGGGCGAGAGAGAGGAAGCAAAGTGTGATGCAGATGGGGAGGTGGGTCCCGCCAAGAGATTTCTTCGCGAGTAGGTGAATATATCGAAGCGGGGAAGTCTCGCGGGTTAATCCCCGATTTCTCCCCTTTTCCTTCGCTCCGCTGTTTGAGGAACACGCCGAGTCATCTTCAAAACGCTCACTTCTGTGCCGTTTCGATGTCCTCAATCGTTTTTTATAATCTTTTTTCCTCCTCAGTCTGAAGACTTTTTTTTTTTTCCACTTTTTATGGCCTGAACCAAACCTCCATTTAAGGATTTTGGCAACTTTTTACCAAAGAAAAAAAGGTTTAGCTAACAACTGGTTTCCGGACTTCTAAATGAAAAACTTGCGTAGTTTACTTTTATACTGCGTCCATAAAATGGATAATTTACCCCTTTGCATATTATCAATGTCGAATTAAAGGGTTTGTGAAGGAAATCTTTCCTCGATTCCGTTCATGTTGGATTTAAAAAATGCGCGCGCAATAATGGATGGAAAATTGGGAGGTTAAGACTTATGAGCTTAGATTGAAGGCCATTGGTTAACCCGTCAAACGAATTCCAACGAAGTTGAGGCCTGAGGGGAAGAAAATTACTTTATATAATATTCCCTTCATCAAACATTATAAAATATTTTTAAATAAAATTTTATATATTAATAAACTTTATTAAATATAAGTAACAACTTTATCTTTTTAAAATAAAAATATAAACTTTTAAAAATACTTATTATTTAATATATTGAAAAGAAAAATGACGAGAATTAATTATATAGAGAGGAAAAATAATATTAAAACTAACATATTTAATAAAATTTTAATTTATTTAAAATATCTTATATTTTGATAAAAAAAACTTTTTTAAAAGTGTCTTATAATTTCAAACGGATGGAACAAGTTTTATAAAAATTAAGTAAAAGGGAGCAATGAGGATGCAGAGATTGATTGGAATAATTTTAAATCAATACAAATGAAAGAACAGAACGGAGTGATAAAATATATGTTGAACTACTGATAAAAAGTATATATATGCAATATGTTGAGCTTTTCTGGGCAAGAACACATTTAAAAATTTAGAAGGTAAAAAAAAGAAAAGGAACGAAGTATATTGAACCAAGCTAGAAGGCAAGGAGGGTGCAGGGAGAGGAATGGCATCATTGATTTTGGGGACAAAACCACCTAGAACAAATTTGCCGCTCCGCCTTCCTAGTTTATTCTCGTCCTCCTCGTCAAAAAATGTCAAATACAAGTTTCCATGTAAAAATAAGCCTCGCGATTATTTCCAAATTTCCTCAATTGTTTTCTTACAGGTGAATATTTGATTCAAATGCCATAAACGCCTTCCGCTAGCCCTCGTTTTGTGAGTGAAGCAAATGCCATGCACACAAGACGACGATGAATCGATTTAATGAATACAAGTTGCTCGTCCCGATGCCAATCATTTAAATAAATAATAATGATAATAATAATAATAAACTCTGGCTTCAAATTGCCTCCTCGTCCCAAATGGATTGGACGTTGCCATGTTCTTTGTTCAATGGCTTGCACAATGATATACTGTATCTGCTCTGCTGGCCATCCAATTACTGCCTGTTTCTAACACTTTCTTCTCCCTTTTTCTTCTTCTTCTTTTTTTCCAGCTTAATTATCTCTGGTCCTCTTCTCACCTTCCAAGCCTTCTCCTCATGAAACGAACATTCATCAATGCCTCAAACAAAACAGTAAACGATGTCACGTATCTAGTATTCTAGGTGGGGGCAAATTCAGGGGACCCACCTTGTTTTTATTTTATGTTTCACGTTCCATGTTATTTTATTTTAATATAATTGTATTATCTAAAATTGATAATTTAAACAAGCCGAACTCAATTCAAATCAAGTTTAAAGCATTTTACCTTATATAAAAACTCTATAACCAACATCGGCCCTAACATTCGGGTTTCAGGCTTCTACGAGCCTGCCCAAATATTTTTCTCTATTTTTTAAATTAATTTTAATTTTTAAATAACCCTGTTAAACTATAAAGTATTATTTTGACTTTACAAGAATAAAGAAAAAAATAATAACTTATCAACTTTATATTTAAATAATTCTATTGTTGTTTTATTATATTATATGTAATCTATTCATGAATATTTTTTTTATTTATAAATTAATGTTGTACTTGTTTAAATATAGCTCTTCTCATGATTATATATAAATATTTTATATATTTTAATTAAATTATATTATTTTAGTTGTGACCAAATTAACCTCCATTCAATCACTGTTAGATCTTTAACTTAAAATCATTGCCTTAAGTAGTTCAAATTTTTTAATAACTTTTAGGTAAACTAGACTTTTCATTTTTAAGAATATGAGAAAATAGTCATCACTATATTATGTAAAAAAAATCATTTAATTATTGGCAAAATGTTGTTTTCTTTCTATAATTGTTTTTCTTTAACTTTTTATATTCTTTAACCCTTACCTACTATGTATTTATTACAGTTCATTATTAATTTTTAATCAAATTTGATGTGGATGATGACTAAATAATATTAAAAAAATTATTTTTTTAATTATGTTTATCTAGTAGCAGAGACAAAAATTTATATATGCCCCAATTTTATTTTTAAATTTATTTGTTAAAATTTTTTACTTTAAAATTAATTATTTTATTTTATAAAAAATAGAAAATATATTTTTTATTCTCAAATCTCGAATAATGTATAAGACTCAAACCTTTTTCAAAAAAATAAGTGGGTCTTACAATATAAAAATTAACATTAAAATATATTTTAAAATTTTCTAGATATTTTATTTATTAAAAATATAATATTTTTTATTTTTTAAAAGATAAATATAGAAATACATTTAAATATGTGGCATTTTAGTATAAAATAACATAAAATTTAAAAAATTAATAATTATTTATTATATTTTATATGTTTTTAAAAATGTTATTTTTTTATTCGGGTATGTCAAGAATGAATTTCTTATTATTTACATTTTTGGATTAAAAAAAGAGGGGATAAGCTATAAGAGATTAGAAATTTTTTTAAAAAAAAACAAGATTGGGTTGCAACATACATATGAAACATTATACAATAATGAGATATCAAAAAAAATTATGTTTTTGAGCTCAACTTTAAATTTTTTTAGATGAGTTTGCACAAATTTGGCTCAAACTACTCGCTTTAATACAATCATTGCATGTTCTTGACCTCTTTGAACCTGAGTTAAGCCTTGAAGCTTAGATTGCCAACTTTGCTAGAGATCTATCGGACCAACTTTGGTTTTCCCGTTCGGCCTATAACAAGTGCCTTGTGGACTAATACTGTATTTGAGAGATTTTTTTAGAAAAAATAAAATAGAGCTGGATGGTTAAAAAGCTTGAGCCTTTATTTATGAGTTTTTTTTAAAGAACGATGAAGTGACAATGAAGGGTCTTTAAAGCCCTCTCCTGTCATTCATAATTCAATATTTTTTATCCCCCAAATTGAATGGTCAATAATGAAGTGGTACAATATAATTATTTTATTTACAAAATTATTCTTAACCTCCTATTCTAATAAAAAAATTCATTTGTTATTTTTATTATTCAGCCACCTCCCTCATCTTCTGCTAGGGTTATATATGGGTAGGGTCAGACCAGATATCACTCTTGCTTGGTGCCTAGCCTGATGTGCAATGGAACATCATGCTAGCCTAATTGATCTAAAAATATTTTTACTTTCATTAAAAGAATTATTATTATTATTGTTGTTACTTAAATTATATTCTTCATAAAACTAATATTAGAATTAAAAATAATTTTTTAAAAGTTCAAATGAATAACAACTAGCAATTAATTTTACATAATAATAAGTTAAAAATAAATGTTAACTTTTGAAAGAGATTTAAAAATTTATAATAATAAAAAATGTCTAAAAGATCATAAAAATAATATAATTTATAATAACTTTCAATAATAAATAATGTCATGAGATAAATATTATTCACAAAAAATAACTTATACATGTTTGGATAAGGCAAGGTTTGACCCCTGCTTAAACCTGATTCCATGTGCCCCGATGCTTTGAGTAGAGTTGGGTTGATTGAACATTCAAATATAGCGCATGACCTTACTTCCTGCCTATCTCCTTCACCCTCATCATCTCTCTTTCTCTCGTACCATTTAATATTATGATTCTACTGTGTTTTTTTTTTTTTTGTGCAATAAGAATGTCTTCTTAAATAACTTTATTACTTATTTTTTTTTTATTTTCAATTATTGAGTACATTGTTTGACCATTAATCATCATCATGATTATTATGATTACTTGTAGAACGCTGCATCTATATTTCATTGGGATCATTTTTTTTCCCAAGGCAAATATTGTTCCAGGGATTTTGATAGTAGTTGCATATAAAGTTTATCGTATGACCTGACATGTACAATGAAGTGATGAACCATCAAAATCAAATGGGCAAACAAGTAAATTATTTTCAAACTTTAGGTTCAGCAATATTATAGATTATGAACTCATTTATTATATAAATTATTCTCTTAAATTTTAAAAATGATGCAATTTAACTCCTACCATTAACAAATGTTAACTTTGATTGTTAGTTAATTAAAAAATAACCTAAAAAATTACAACAAAGAATCCAAAAATTACACACAATGATCCCAGAATTGCATAAAAAGGACCAAAAATTTTGTGTGGTCTATTTTTGTAATTTTTTAAAATTAGTTTTTATCATTGCCTAATCAACTAATGATTAAAGTTTACTTTTGATAATATCAAAAGCCAAATTGCACCATTTTCAAGAGCCAAAGGAATAATTTAGATAATAAATAAGTATAGAGTTTATTGTACTACTGAACTTCAAAGTTTAAAAAATAATTTGTAAATATATCCAAATCAAATTACCAATATAATAAATTTATAAGATGTTGGAACCTGAAAATTTACCGAATAAATGCACCTTTTTTTCTGGGTAGCAATAGATGCAATTTCATTAATCGAGCCACTTGGGCTGAACGAAACA